CTGCTATCAGCTTAAAACGTTTAGATAATCCTTGTAAGCGTTCGTGGATCTTATTCGAATCCATCATGATAAAGCTGTCGCCAGCATCATCGAGGATCTTTGCCAGATCCTTGAATACATCGCATCCCAAAATTCCTCGGGAATTCAATTGCAATGACAACCAGTGTAGCTTGGCCTTGTTAGGGTCTTTATCTTTATCCTGCCAAACGGCACAGTATGTTGTTAAGAACCATTCGAAAATAATGACACGCGCGGTAAGAATCTGGTGTGAGAAACGTGTAACAATTTCACGGTTTTGGCGATATACGGGTTCCAGCTGCACATGGTTATTATCAAATTCACCCTTGGGATGCTCACAGAAGCCTTTGCTTTTGGGAATCCACTTGAATATTGCATCGTGAATGTCTGTGGATCCGAGCCGAAGGTTCGCAGGATCAGCTAGGGTTGTGAAATACAAGCCCCATTTCGTGGCTAGGAGTTCAAGCAACAGTCGAGTCTTTCCACTTCCAGATGTGTTAATTATCATTCTGGATAGGATGTGACAACATGTGTAAGATGAACAATAGGATCAAGTAGAAGAGACGTACTTTGACGACCCATCTCCCAATTGTGAGATGATTTTTGTGTCAACAACGCCATCCCCTAGATTGTGGAGAAGCAACACAGGAAACCCTTCCACCTGAGGAATTTCAAGTTCCTCGATGAATCGAGCGTATTCGGGGCTAGCACCCTGCGGGGCTTGCCATGTGTCCCGCCACGGTGCACTCTTGAGATGCTCGCGAAGTCGACCCTCCAGATTTTTCAAGAACTCATTGACCACGCCCGTCATTTCACTGTCATCTATGTGGCCTTCTGCAGAAGATGACACCCCAGCTGTACATACAGATTAGTCAAACTTGCGAGGAACCGGCCAAATCTTCTGGACGGGCAGAGAACAAAATACGTACTTGATTCAGCCACAACTACAATATCAATTTTTTTCTCCTCCCTACGTGCAGGCCCGCTGGGAAAATAGTCGGCAAGAGAAAGTGCAGGCTGCATTGGATTACGCAGTGGATCTTTGCGAAGCCAATCCACGGCACGTTCATGAAGTTTCTCTGATGGCTCAATACCCAGATCGTCAGGCTGCACGCCGACCTGCATGTAGACAATCAGTATGACAAATATAAGAGATGATGAAGAAAAACCTTGTAAAGGTCTACAATTTGGTTGTCCAAGGCATTTTTGTATCCTGCGTATTGACAAATTTCATTTATGAGGTCTTGGACGTCTGCGTCCTCTGAAACGCGAAAAGGACGAGCCCTGCCCTTGTCAATGTAGGGCAGATAGACAACATAACGGTGAGTGTTTGGTCTTGTGGAGGACATGTTGAATGAGAAACAGAGACGAACGTGTGTTGAATGAGTGTACAGTAGGGGGTGTGCTTTTCGGTTGTGTGACGGGTGAATCAGTCACCAGACAATATAGTGTAACGCTGTGTGACAATGCCTCCAGCAGTCGCGTCGTTTCCGCATCCGAACCCTGAGTCCCACGGCTCTTTTTAGGTTAGCTCCAACTGGCCACTCACAAATTGACTTGAATTTCACTAAGTCAAAATAAAGTCATTTCCCTAAGAAAATATATATTCCCCTCCCTCAAGCCTAACTAACACCCAACTCAACACCTAAACTTAACAACCTAAACTGAACCTAAACCTAATTAGGAGGGCTCTACCCTCTCAAACCCCCCTCCTAACTTCTTAGTCTGTAAACCAGCATACAAGTATTATGTAAGTAGTTAGTCAGGATTGTTCTAAAAAGAGCTGTAAGACTTAGGGTTCAAATGTAGAAAGTTAAAACTAGTTTCTAGTATATTATTATTGTTTTACTATATAAAATCTAATTTACAGAGATAATGGCTCAAATACACAAAGTACTAACTTAGTTAGAAACCTTTTCAAAAAAGGGCACTAAGTCAGTTTTCTCTTAATTATTTACTCAATTAATTTTCTTACATACTCTCTGTTTATACTAGACTCTCTTCTAACTTATTTATAGTATTTACACTATATAGTATATTTAGTAGGTCTGATAGTACACTTAGTAACAATAAAGTTAAAAGTAAATCTGTACTCAATCCAAACTCTACTACTAAGTAACATTTAACAAAGGAGTAAGTAACACATTGTATTAGATTTAGTATAATAGGTTTAGAATTGAGAACAGACTACTATTAGACTGTAATAAACCTGTAAATGTAGAGATCCCCTATATTATTAATATCTCTACCAAGAGTAATGTAATTCTATTAAAACAGTATAGAATGTATACTAAAATATATTCTTATATATACAGACAAGTACTAGCTAATCTCTTAAATGTTTGTTATAGACAGTCTGTTAAGCTTTGTATAACTAAGTAAATACACAGAAATTATATACTCCTCTAGTCACATCTTTGTCAAGTATTTAAAGGTACTAAGTAATAGTCTAGTAATACAATGTGTATATTCACTACTTAAGGATCTAACTGTAAAACCCTTTCAGTCTCTTACAGTTACAGCTTTAGTACTAGTACTAGTAGAACTCTAAAGATTAAGAATGCTTACAAACAAAATATGAAAGTAGATAAGATGTAAGAAATTATAGTTATAGTAATTTAGCTTGTAGACAGTATAAGGTGTGCCTACTTGGCTCACAGTATCTTTGCCTTTAGTAAATAATGTATTAGGGTACAAATGAGAATAACCCTTATAAGTACTACAAAAGATATCCAGAACATGATTAATATGTATGTTTATGTTCAAACCTCTTAAGAAGAGCTGTAGTTGTTAGAATTTTTAATAAAATATAGAGGTATCTCTATAAGGTATTATACAGTAACCTCTGTGTTTCATTTTATTAAATAAATTTTATAAGACTTTCAAAAGTTATTATTAATAATTTAATTCTACTATTTACTCCTCTTATAAAATACTATATTATATTAAAAGAGTAGTCATTTTATAAAATTGAATTATTACATATTATAAACAGTCTAATTATACTATTAGAGACTTATTATAAAATACTAAATTTTATAAAAAGAGTGGTTATTATATAAAATTAAATGATTTAATATTATAAACAGTTTAATTATACTATTAGAGACTTATTGTAAAATACTAAATTTTATAAAAAGAGTGGTTATTATATAAAATTGAATGATTTAATATTATATACAGTCTAATTATACTATTACAGTTCTGTAGTAAAATACTAAATTGTGTAAAAAGAATTCGAATTTGTATACATTACACTCTCTAATTAGGTCTAGTCATACACTATTAGACTAGACTTAATTAAAGTATATTAGACTTTAGATCAAGATTTCTGTTAGTCTCAGATGGCTAGTTCCTGATAGGATAGTGACACACATGTCTATCAGGTACACAATTAGTGTAAGCTTACCGATTGTGTGCCTGATGAGCATGTGTGTCATTAACATTGTGCCACACCTTGTGCTCACTGTGTGAAACAGTGAGCACACACATTCTACTGTATCTTACTCAATTCTTAAC